GAAGACAATTGCATGAAAAGTTAAAACACCAAACATGTGATCCTGTGTCCAACCAAGGATTTAAATTTGGCATCATTCTGAGGTTTGCATGAAAAAAATAACCAAAATTAACATACAAACCTTTAAACGGTGTTTCCCAAAAGGAGGCCGTAATTCACCATAAGTCGTAGGTAGAATCTTCTCATCAGATGACACTCTTAACAGAGTCAGCAAGTCCCCTGCACCACAAATATGTCAACGCTTATCCTGTTGGTTAAAAATTGCAAATTGAAAACAGCAGGGCACTCACGCCAAGCCACTTGTTACGAAGTAATAATATTTGGAAATTTTCCCTTTCTAGCCCACATATATATGTCAATTACCAGATCATGCCAAGGATGAGGCTAACCCCCCCCCCCCCCCCCCCTTCTTTTTTTTTTCTTTCCCCATGGAATTAAAATACAACGAAAAAGAACATAGAAAGTAGAAGCATAAAGATATTTTCCTTATCGCCAATATGACTATACCTTTTCCACTTGACACATGTAATTGCCTGCCTAGGGCAGTTAATGGATCATTTACCACTCTGCAAGGTTTATTTCATTAAACCTAGCCTTTCCCTTGGAAAATACCAGTCTGAATTGACGGCTGAGGAAGATTAAGTAAAAAACTGATTCTTTAATGCATTCCAAGGAGTGCATTATAGATGTTATGTCTATGATAGTTAATGGTTCATCTACCAAGTCTGCAAGGTTATTTTACTAAGCCTAGCTTGTCCCTTGGAAATACTAAGTCTGAATTGATAGTTGAGGAAGATTTCAGTAAAAACTGAATTTTTTAATGCATTCCAAGGAGTATATTATAGATATTATGTCTAGGTTTTAAATGTAATCCTAATACATAATCTTGACGCATAGGTTTCTCACTTCTAACCATATCTTGGTATGTTTATTATAGCTATAGAATAAGTCATTCTGTCAGTTATACAACTATCAAAAACAGGCTCTAACCGGTTAGTTTAGAATCCTGCTCTTATTACCTTGGATCCCAAATTTATTTGGTACAAGTATTGGTTTGTTGTTGCTATAGTTGAAAACTGTGATATGCAACCTACACAAATAATGTCGACCAACAGAATTTTGCCGCGAAATATTTAAAGATCTCACAGCTACGTGCCTGTCATAACCATTCTCCACAAAGTTTCATTTAAATACATATTTTCTTCAGGATAATCCTAAAAAATTGAGCTAGACATTGGAAATAAACCAAAAATCAATATAGCAACAGTTTCATAAACCATTGAGTCAAGATTCCACAAACAAGAAACTGGATGAGTGGCCCCTAATACATGTAACAATACATAACTTTTGGCTTGTTTTACTGATCATAAATGAATATGTAAATACGAATATAAAGTAGCACAAGAGTAATTACTAATGTAAGCGGTTATGGACTCACCCAGTTTGGGAAGCATTGCACCAACAGTATCACGATTAGCCAATTCGTACACATGCTGATTTTTGAAAGAATACATTACAGGTGAAGAAATTGATCTTCTTGGATCCAACAAAGAAATACACACAGACAACGAGTGCACAAGGGCAGATTTTGAACATGAGTCTTTAAGTGCATGATCAAATATCCTTGCAACAAAACTGCACATACAGAGCTACAAATTCAACAAATATTTATATCAATTTGTTCAAAAAACAGCCAAAAACTGATCTACGGGGTGGGGAAAAGTATTCAGTTTTATTCATACAACCTTGGGCTGGATAGTTTAGCAGCCAGAGGTGATGGAGCATTTCGGGTTATTGCACATAATGTTTCTGCAGCATTTGCATGTACTTCAGGAGGATTCTGGAGAACACAGAAGGTATATCAGTTATATCTTCAGATGATTTACATTTCATAAGCCTAACAATCCTGGACAACAAGTGTAACTAATACGCCGTGCAAATAAACTGGCAATCATGCAAGCCTCCATTTGCCAAACACCACAGACTCACTTCCAAATGAACAGATATCAAATATGTCAGAACCAGATACAGGAGAGGAAGATGGGACAACCATATACATGGCAAATTTGAGCCCTTTTTCCTCAGCCTTTCGAGTCGGTACACATCACGGTATAACCTCAGCTACTGAATGTTCTAGATCTTCCTATTTTTAGAATAATATATCAAAAATAATAATCACTCTAGAAAGCCGCGTGAGATCAGCAGATTAAGGTTCTGTAAGCAGTAAATAATTTGCTTTGTGCACTGAAGCCAAAGCTGACAGTTAGTTCCATGCCACTGTGGTAATACAAAAGGATGTACGGATAAACTAATAAATAAACCCAAGAAACCACATATAGTAGCAATTAGAATGCAGGAGAAATTGGCAAAAAGGATGATGACATATTTACATAAAAAGGACCCAAAGCTGCATAAGCAAATATAATAAAGTGGAAATGACTAGAGAAGAATGAGAATGGAGATAAATTAATAAATTTGTTAGAAAATCATGGAGAACATGCAAAATCTAAGCTAAGCCCCTGTTTCAACCATTCTTTCTCATTCTTTTTTTCTCATACTCATTTTCAACCACACATTTTCACAATAAAATATTCTTCACGTAAGCCCAAAACTTATCCTTGCTTTTTAACCAAGGAGACTCCTAAAACTTACCATTCAAAAGCCCATTTTTTCCCAAAAAAAAAAAGAATATATAAATAAATACAAATAAAAATCTTCAAACAGACGCTAAGCACAGCCATAGTTACTAAAGAGCATTATATTACACCACTAG